GGTGCCAGACTGTGGGGGGGTGGGGATACAAGGACCCAGAGTGCAGAAAATTGTGTCTGCTGCTGGCCAAAGGAGGGGGCCTGGGGGCATCATTTGAGCTCCCCGCCTCAGGTGCCAGCATGTGTGGGCTGGCCCTGGAGCCCAGCTCCATGTCTCCCGAGCAGCTCAGCCCAGCTCAGCGGGCAGTCCCTCGGCCTTGGCCTTGGCAGAGCCCGAGCTCCCGGCAGGGCTGGGAACAGGGTCGCAGCTGTGCGCCAGCAAGCGGGGTGAGGCACCTTGGGCCACTGGCCAGGGCTTGGAAAGGGTGTGACCCGCCAGCGCGGTGTGTCTGGGCCGCGGACCCCCCAGCCCTCCCCAGGGGGTGGACCACTGACCTTGCACCGTCAGGACCCCGCTCCATTCTGTCTTCCCCGTGGCGCTGGCAGCCATGCAGACGTACCGCCCCGAGTCCGACACCTGCACACACCAAGGGCAGTGAGAGAGCAGCTGCCATGGGATATGTGACGTAGTGGGGGTACCTTGCTGGGGGCTATGCTGGGCAGTGGGCTGTGGGTGACCTCCGCTGTCTGCAGCACGGCCCAGCAGGGCAGGAGGTGAGTCATTATGCAAAGGGGGCTCCAAACCTGTCTGACCAGCTACCCCCCCAGGGAGAGAAACAAAGGAAGGTGGAAGGCTGCCCCTGGCTGGGGGGGCAGGGCTGGAGGAGAGTTAGTTAGTTTCGGTCTGGGAAGCAGGAGAGAAGGAGCTAGGGAGGGGGCTGGGATTGTAGGGCCCAGCCACCCCCCATCTCAAGGGGGGTCATTATGCAAAGGGGGCTCCAAACCTGTCTGACCAGCTACCCCCCCAGGGAGAGAAACAAAGGAAGGTGGAAGGCTGCCCCTGGCTGGGGGGGCAGGGCTGGAGGAGAGTTAGTTAGTTTCGGTCTGGGAAGCAGGAGAGAAGGAGCTAGGGAGGGGGCTGGGATTGTAGGGCCCAGCCACCCCCCATCTCAAGGGGGGGCACTGAGGCCTCTTAGCCCCAGTTCCTGAAACCAGATTCCATCTGTGCTGTGCTGTATCCTGGAGAAGCAATAAACTCCCTCTGTTCTACTGGCTGGTGGAGTCTGTCCGTGCCACTACGGGGGTGCAGGAGGCGGGAAAACCCCAATGCGCCGTCACACCCCTGAGCTGGCTGATAGAGTTATGGGAGGGACAGACCTCCCTGGATGGAGCGTTGGGGGTGGAAGACGTCCTGGCTTTCCGAGAAAGGCTCGCTGAGCTCTTGGGCCTGGCCAGAGAGACCCAGTCCAGAGCTCAAGGGCAGTGGAAGGGCTGGTACGGCCACAGAAGACAGGCCTGGGCTGGTCCCTCCAGAGCTGTGCAGCACCCGGAAGGCGCGCCGGGGGGGGGGGCTCCCCCGCCTGGACTGGCCGTTTTAACACACCCGCCAGGCAGGGCTGCCCACATTTCCCCACGACACAGCGTGGCCAGAGGAGCGGGCAGTCCCCGGGGCCATTAGGGTTGCCAGGTGTCCAGTATTGAACTGGACAGACGGGTATTTGCGCCTTCTGTCCGGTAAAGAAATTGAGAAAATACCAGACATACAAAATGTCCGATACTTTCTGCTTTTCCCGGCTTGGCACCCAACAGAGATGTGGCAGGGGTGGGGGAAGTGGCAGGGGAGCGGCACAGACACCCAGACGTACACGCTCTCGCACACGTGTGCTTGTGTGCACCCTGCCCCTACATGTGCACGCACAGACACCCAGACGTACGCGATCTCGCACACGTGCGCATGTGTGCACCCTGCCCCTACATGTGCACGCACAGACACCCAGACGTATGCGATCTCGCACACGTGTGCATGTGTGCACCCTACCCCTACATGTGCACGCAGACACACAGACGGACACGCTCTCGCACACGTGTGCTTGTGTGCACCCTGCCCCTACATGTGCACGCACAGACACACAGACGGACACGCTCTCGCACACGGGCGCTTGTGTGCACCCTGCCCCTACATGTGCATGCACAGACACCCAGACGGACATGCTCTCACACACGTGTGCTTGTGTGCACCCTGCCCCTACATGTGCACGCACAGACACCCAGACGTACGCGATCTCGCACACGTGCGCATGTGTGCACCCTGCCCCTACATGTGCACGCACAGACACCCAGACGTATGCGATCTCGCACACGTGTGCATGTGTGCACCCTACCCCTACATGTGCACGCAGACACACAGACGGACACGCTCTCGCACACGTGTGCTTGTGTGCACCCTGCCCCTACATGTGCACGCACAGACACACAGACGGACACGCTCTCGCACACGGGCGCTTGTGTGCACCCTGCCCCTACATGTGCATGCACAGACACCCAGACGGACATGCTCTCACACACGTGTGCTTGTGTGCACCCTGCCCCTACATGTGCACGCACAGACACCCAGACGTACGCGATCTCGCACACGTGCGCATGTGTGCACCCTGCCCCTACATGTGCACGCACAGACACCCAGACGTATGCGATCTCGCACACGTGTGCATGTGTGCACCCTACCCCTACATGTGCACGCAGACACACAGACGGACACGCTCTCGCACACGTGTGCTTGTGTGCACCCTGCCCCTACATGTGCACGCACAGACACACAGACGGACACGCTCTCGCACACGGGCGCTTGTGTGCACCCTGCCCCTACATGTGCATGCACAGACACCCAGACGGACATGCTCTCACACACGTGTGCTTGTGTGCACCCTGCCCCTACATGTGCACGCACAGACACCCAGACGTACGCGATCTCGCACACGTGCGCATGTGTGCACCCTGCCCCTACATGTGCACGCACAGACACCCAGACGTATGCGATCTCGCACACGTGTGCATGTGTGCACCCTACCCCTACATGTGCACGCAGACACACAGACGGACACGCTCTCGCACACGTGTGCTTGTGTGCACCCTGCCCCTACATGTGCACGCACAGACACACAGACGGACACGCTCTCGCACACGGGCGCTTGTGTGCACCCTGCCCCTACATGTGCATGCACAGACACCCAGACGGACATGCTCTCACACACGTGTGCTTGTGTGCACCCTGCCCCTACATGTGCACGCACAGACACCCAGACGTACGCGATCTCGCACACGTGCGCATGTGTGCACCCTGCCCCTACATGTGCACGCACAGACACCCAGACGTATGCGATCTCGCACACGTGTGCATGTGTGCACCCTACCCCTACATGTGCACGCAGACACACAGACGGACACGCTCTCGCACACGTGTGCTTGTGTGCACCCTGCCCCTACATGTGCACGCACAGACACACAGACGGACACGCTCTCGCACACGGGCGCTTGTGTGCACCCTGCCCCTACATGTGCATGCACAGACACCCAGACGGACATGCTCTCACACACGTGTGCTTGTGTGCACCCTGCCCCTACATGTGCACGCACAGACACCCAGACGTACGCGATCTCGCACACGTGCGCATGTGTGCACCCTGCCCCTACATGTGCACGCACAGACACCCAGACGTATGCGATCTCGCACACGTGTGCATGTGTGCACCCTACCCCTACATGTGCACGCAGACACACAGACGGCCTGGAGGAGAGTGGGTTAGTTTCTGTCTGGGAAGCAGGGGAGAAGGAGCTAGGGAGGGGGCTGGGATTGGAGGGCCCAGCCACCCCCCATCTCAAGGGGGGGCACTGAGGCCTCTTAGCCCCAGTTCCTGAAACCAGATTCCATCTGTGCTGTGCTGTATCCTGGAGAAGCAATAAACTCCCTCTGTTCTACTGGCTGGCGGGGGCGGGGCC